CCGCGGGCCACGGGCTCAGCCCCAGGGCACCCTGTTCTGCAGCCCGACGTGCTGTCCACCTGCGGCTCAGCCTTTGGGGTCACGCTGGGTGCTGCTCTCCAGGGCAGGGAGTGCCAGGGCTTTCTGGCCCAGCTGGGTCCCACCTACAGGCAGGGTGCCCAGTGCGAGGCCCGGGGCCCCTGTGGCCCGGCCGGGAGGCGGGCGGGGGGCTGGCTGCCCAGTGGCCTGTCTGTGGGGAATGTCCGGAATGCGAGTGACCTCAGCGGGTGAGCCCTGTGTTTGCCTAATGGGATTCTTGGCAGCCCGGCCAAGGGCGCGGGCACGTGTGGCCAGGTACACACACCTGGCCCAGCACACCTGGCCCAGCCCCGCCGGCCGCAGGCACGCACAGACAGGGGCTCTGCCCTGGCCGCCTCAGCTGGGCCGGGCCCTGGGCCGGGCTGCCAGGTGGGTCTGGGCCTCGGCGGGGTGGGGAGCTCAGGGGCGGGGCGCTGGCAGGCCCGCGAGGGGTGGGGTGCCCCTGCTGGGCAGGGGTCACGGGGAGCAGCAGGCCCAGGCTGCACTTTGTTTTGCTGGGGCCATTTTCCGGGTGCCCAGGGTGGGGGTGGGGGGACCGGCGGGCAGGAGGGCAGAGGCAGCAGCTCCAGGCTCAAATTCCAGCTGGCAGCGGTGACCTTGGGAGGAGCCCACTGCCGCGGGGTGGGCGGGGCGGGGACCCCTGGCCGCAGGTCTGGGGCAGAGTCCTCCCAGGACAGGTCACCGGGCAGGAGGACACAGGAAGCCCGGGGTGGGGAGGGAGGGTGCCAGGAAACAGGAGGGCCGGCCCAGGGCGGCTGGGCGGGGGCGGCCAGGTCCCCGCGGGTGGGGCGCCCACGGCCGGCCCCTCCACACCCCGCCTCGGGACCCAGGCCTGGGGCAGTGCCGGTTGGGTCCCACCCCTGGCTCTGCCCAGAACAGGCCCCGCAGCCGAGGCCCAGCCTCCGCTCCCCTGAAACTCCCACACCCAACCTTCACCCCCGCCGAACGCCAGCGGCTGCCTGGCCGGGGTTTCCTGCTGGCGGACACCCAGGAAGCGCCCCCTGACAGCTGACCCTCCACGGGGCCTGGGGGCCTTGGGGGGCCGGGAGACCCCTCACCGCCGTCCCCGGGGGAGGGTCTGCGGCCCCGAGCCGGGAGGGGCCTGCCCGGGGGCCGC